GGAAATTTATATAATATTTATAGAAATTAATATAAGATTATATTTATACATGCATGACTAAATTAACACAGAATGTGTTTCTTAAGATTTAAATAGATTTATATTTTAAAGTTCCTATAAACAAAATTGATAATATTTCATTAAATTTCATAAAATTGTCTCAATTTACACTGAATTTAAGAAAGTTAAATTTATTCTTAATGTTAATATTCTCAAAATATATAATAACACAACATGTAAGAATTTTAATCTCAACACATTGTAAATTATTTTTTTATTTTGTATTTTAAAACTTTATAAAATCCAATAATTGTGAAAAGAAAATATGTACGTTGAGTACTAATAAACCTTATTTACCTAACTTTTTTATAGATGCAAACGGAAGGTGGTAAAAAATTTTCTATGTTTTCATATAATATTCTTTCCTGTATAAATCTGTATATATTAATATTATTCATTTATTATATTTATTATTTAGTTTGGTAGGTAAGTATGTATACAGTTGCACTCGTTGATATTAATAAGATGAAATAGTAAATTTTAAAAAATAGTAAAATATAATGCCTAATTTTTCTTTTATTATTATAATTCGTTTTATTTTATTCATATCTGATGCTTAATATATTTCGATTGCATATATTATTATTACTTTCATGAATTAGTGAAGTAAATTAAGGTGTCTGAAAGAATATACTCGCAGTGCATCGATTTTACTGTTTGGAGATTGATTAATCTTTTATTAAATCATGTTTTTTTATTATATATTTTTATATAATTAGGTTTTTTTACTTATGTATTTTTTTGTAATTCTTTTGGGTTATATGTCTGAAAGCTATTACTTCTATTTTTCATAAGTCTAAATAGTTTTTATAACGGCAATTTTTTAAATCTTTTATAATACTTGATTGAGCTGTAAACAAATTTTTTAAATGCTTTTGCAGCTGTCCGAGTATTTTCTGTATAGTATTGTACAGTATAGTATTTCTGCTTTATTGATTATATTTCATTATTAATTTATTAATTCCTCATGAAATATTTACTTTGTGTATTAATTAGCTAATAAGTACAAAACAATGTAGTAAAAAAGTAATCTTATTAATTTATAGATGATTTAAAATGTATTCCTTATAAACTTTTAAGAATAATTGTTAATTTTCTGAAATTAGTCAATATTATTAAATAATAATGAGATATTGATTTATTATAAATTATTTAGAAGACGATTTATCTACAGTACATGATTAATATTTTATAGTATCTAAAGGAGTCGAATTATATATATGCGATATATTATAAATCAGTAATAAATTCTCGTTAAAGATTTATTAAAGAATAAATTACAGTTTTTATATCAATTATTTAAAAATTTATCAGATATATTTAAAAATAATTAATTTATTGACATATTTTAAATATTTTTATATATATTTTCCGTATATTGCTAAGCTAATATTTTAGAAATTTTGTATCAATATTATCTTTATTTAAAATTACATAAATCGGGATTTTGATAAATTTTTTTCGATCGAAGTTTTTATTAATTATTATATATTAACACTTTATCATTTAAAGTATTATGCATCAGGTAATCTTTAAGTTTAAAATCAGGTTAGGCGTAATATACAAAAAATTAAGCTTAGAGGTGAAACGAGAAGCAAAAAATGCAGGGAATATACTGAAACTTGATCAAATTTTCATATATTGTTCCATTTAGCTTTTATAGTTTATTATATATTACACATTTATAACAAATATATTTTGATGTTGAGAAAGCGTCTTCATATTTTTAATCGTTTTAGTTG